TTTTTTTTTTTTTTTTTTTTTTTTTTGAATGCTTTGTCTATTAACTTCAGAATCTAAGTGTAGTTCAAGGGTGGTTTAATCTGCACAATATGTTTCTGGTTATTTATACATAACTCAGCAAAACGATGTTTCATTAGAGAATTATTTATTTATTATTTCATCTCTTTAATTTTCATTGAGGCTCATGAATTTCCTTTTAAAATTTCCTTTCTTTGGCATTAATTTAATGAATGCCCTTTCCATGGACAATAAAATATTTGCATTTTAAGGGCCTCAAATATTGTCACAGCATCGGTATTCCCAGACTGGGACAGGGTACGTTCCCTTGAGGAATTCTGGGATTGTTTCAATGTGGAGGTGGGGCTTTTACCATTTATGACTTCTTTTATTTCCTGACTTGCCTTTTGTTAGTAGTTCTTAAGGCTACAGTAATACGGTTGCTCTGGTATTTCAAGAAATGGTGAAACTCAAGCATAAGAAGAAACAACCCTCCGTTTCTTTTTTAACCACCACACTCTTCCACAAACATATAAACTCTACCTCCAGGGGTTACTTGAAAAAGGAGTAGCTCACAAGCAACAAGTCCAAAGAATCTGAAGAATTTTTCAGGGTTAGAGAGCAGGGGTAAGAGAGTAACAGGCATATTTATGCCCCGTCAGCTCTGAGATATCACTAGACTCTGCTGGGCAGCTGAGCCCATTCCCTCCTCAGTTCTTCCAAATGTCTCTTTCAAAGTCTAGTTCTGCTTCATCCTGCCCTCCCAAGGGAACTTGCTCCGCTCCTCCCCATTTCACGGCTATGACAACTTCTCAGGGCAGCTCCATCCCCCAAAGCTCTGGCCTCAGCAGGAGCCCCCCTGGGAGGACAGCTGGTATCCGAGGAGAATCAAGCAGGCCCAGGCCTCTTCCTGAGTACAGACCCCGGTTTGATGGAGCAGCAGGCAGCCTCCTTCTGCGGACCGCAGGGTTTGGACCTGGCTCTTGGGCATCAGCTATCTCCAGCAACTTCTCTAGCAGTTTATACAGTGCTGGTGAATTCAGGTGGGAATTGGGATCTAGAAAAAACCAAAACCAAAACCAAAACAAGACATGGGGATCCAGCTATATTCCTTGCTGAAAACGATTGCCCTGTCAGAAAAAGGCAGGCTCATTTTTCCCTATCGACAGAATACATTTCCTTTGGACGACATCTACACTCATAAGCTAACATCTTGAATCATGATTGGTTTGATTTACATACCCTTCTAACTTTAAGTTATGATATGATTTGCCTGGGTTTAGACTGAATTTCCTTCAGCATTTAGCAATGCAGATTACTTCAACTAAATCTAGACTCACTGCCCGGGGTTGGATGGGATGTCAAGAAAAGCAAAAGGAATGCCATAATATAAGACTTAAATAAGGATAGCATTTTGTTTTTTAAAAGAACAGCTGATATACTTCACATAACAAATGATTTATCTCTTTAAAGTGAACAATTCAGTGTTTTTGTTTTTCGATTTTATTTTTAAAATTTTTTGGTATATTCACAAAATTGGGCAACCACTACCTAATTGCAGAATATTTTCATCACCACAAAAGAAGAAACCTCAGACACCTTCTACTCTCCTCTCCCCTTCAGCCCTGATTAATTTGTAGGGACCAATTACTTTCACTCCTGCGGACTTACCTATTACGCATAGTTCATATAAACTGAAACATACAATGCATTGCCCTTGGGGGACCGGCTTCTTTTTCTTAATGCTTCCAAAGTTTGTGCTGTAGAGTATGAACCAGCACTTTTCTTCTTTTGCTGCTAAACCATATTTCATTGTACAGATGTAGTATATTTTACTTATCCATTTATCAGTGGATGGATGTTGGAGGGCTTTTTGACTTATTTAAATGACATTAACAGAAACATTCCTGTGCAAATTTTTGGGCGGACATATGCTTTCAGATCTTTCGGGTATACACACATCTAGGAGCGGGGCTCTTGATCATGTGATAACTCGGTGTTTAGCCTTCTAAGGAACTGCCTCATTGTTTCCCAAAGTTGCTCTGCCATTCCTGAGAGCAGTGTGTGAGTTTTAATTTCTCTACATCCTCAGTAACACTTGTTATTTAAAAAAAAACTAGCTATCTTCCGAGTGAATGATGGTATGCCTGTGCTTCGATTTGCATTTCTCTGATACGCAGCATAGTTTTGTGTGCTTTTTGCCATTTGTATATCTTCTTTGGAGAGATTTTTATTCAGATCCTTTGCTCAGTTTAAAATTGGATGATTTGCATTTCCGTTGTTATTAAGAGTTCATTACATATTCTGATACAAGTCCCTTATATATGATTTGCAAGTGTTTTCCCTTATCATATGGATTGTCTTCACTTCCTTTGTGTACCTTTTGAAGGACAAAGGATAATTTTGATGAACTCCAAATTTTCTATTTTTTCTTTTGTCACATGTTTTTGGAGTCCTAGCTAAGAAACCAAACTTCATGAATATTTATTCTTATTTTCTTTTAAGAGTTTTATAGTCTTAACCATTACATTTGGACCTTGGATTCATTTTGAATTAATTTTTGTATATGTTGTGAAGTAAATATGCTCTTTGCTTGTTTCTTTGTTTCTTTTGATCACATTAATCGATTTTGAGACAAGGTCTAGCTAAGTTGCTCAGGCCAGCCTCAAACTTTTGATCCTCCTGCCTCAGTCCTCCGAGGTTATGGGTGCACACCACCACTCCCGGCTCCGTTTCCTGACTTTTGCCATGGTTGTCCAGGCGTCCCAGCACATTTGTTGAGAGGGCTATTTTCCCCTCTAATTTACCTTGGCATTCTTGTTGAAGATCGAGGTTTATTTTTTGACTCTTGATTCCACTCCATTGTTCTATATGTTTGCCTTTGTACCAGTACCACACTATCCTGATTACTGTAATTTAGTAGAAAATTTAGAAATTGGGAAGTGTGATATCTCCAACTTCTTGACTTCCTTTTTCATGATTTTTTGGTTATTCTGAATCTGTTGCATCAATACAAAATTTAAGACCAGCTTTATGCCAAAAAAGCAGCTGTAATTTTTTCATAGTGATATCTAGAACATACGAATAACTCAAAAAGTTAACTCTTAAAAACCAAGAAACCCAATGAAAATATGGGCAAATAAATTGAATAGACACTTCTCAAAAGGAGCACAAATAGCCAATAAATATATGAACACAGTTAAACATCTTTAGCCATTAAGAAAATGCAAAAAGCTACCCTGAATTCCATCTTCTCCCAGTCAAAATGGCTATCAAAATTAGAGCAAAGCTGTGGATTTAGCTCAGTGGTGCCCACACCTGCTGAGCAAGAGCAAGGTCCTCAGTTTGATTCCTGGTACAAACAAACAAACAAACAATATAGAAAACATGAATACTGGTGAGGGTGCAGGGGGAAACATACCCTCCTGCTATATTGTTGAGAATGTAAACTCATACAATGACACTGGAAGTGGGTGTGGGGATTCCTAAAAAAATACTATTTGATCCAGGTACGCAATGGTGTACATACACACGGGAATATTATTAAGCCACAAAGAAGAATAAAATCATGTCATGTCAAGGAAAAAGGATAGAGCTGGAGAGCATCATTCTGAGTGAAGTTAGCCAGGCTCAGAAAGCTAAGCATCATGTTTTCTCTTACATGAGAAATCTGCAAGGAAAATTAATGAATAAACAAAGGAAAGAAGATAGGAGACGAGAAGGTAGACTCTTAGAAATGGAGAAGGGAATCAGGAGGCAGAGAGAGGAAAAGAAGAGGGGTGGAGTTGAAAATGACCAAGACATGTTATACACTGGTATGTGTTGCATACTAGTTCCAGAATGAACAGAACTCCCATTACTGTAAAGTAATTAGAAAATCAGAAAAAAGCAGGATGTAAAGAGATTATGATCTCATCACAGCTGTCATATCTACCTGAAACAGTGGAATGTGGTACCCATCTCATGTGACCCTGAGGGAGGCAGAGTGAGTTATGGACGGTTTAGAAAGGAAGGTCCGGGCTTCCAACCATTAGTTCAGTTTTCAGTAAGTTTTCCATTTCCTCCTTTATAAATTTGAAGTACATTTTAGGGTACCTTTGGGAATGACTGTGCAGGATTATGCTTGCTTCTTAAGATCTTGGCAAGTTGTCATGTTGCTGTCTTGCATATAGCCATGGTCGTGATTGTTATCCGAAGTGCCCTGCCTTTGTCAAGCATGACGACTGAGATGTCCCGGTGATGGAGTCAAGGAGAACTCTTGGAGCCACCGTGTGAGCCCTCATTAAGCAGACTGGCTTCCTCACCTGATGAAAGCCCGGGCACCCTGAGAGGCGGGGCACTGCAGAGCACACCACTGCCTGCAGGAGGGGAACAGAACAGCTTGTGGTTTCCCTCTTGCCAGCCGAGGGCCATGAGCTTAAGGCTGCCACTCTGAAGTGTTTACCTTTCCCACTTGGGTTCTCTGAGTGCACTGTGCAGTTTGCAGGGGCTCGGTGATGCGTGAAGACGCCGCTGTTACGTCGGCTAAGGGATGTGTGCTTCAAACTCTTGCGCGTTAGACATTTTTGTTTTTATGGCAAATATTACAAATAAATAAACATCATGAGCAAAAGCTTTCAGGATAATAATTTTATAAAGTGTAAACAATTCTTAGACCAAAAAGTTAGAGAACTGCTGTAACAGACAAACCCTTGAAAAACAATAATAATAACATATTGTTTGAGCTCTTTCTACACGCTCAATCCGCTGTCTTCACATCATCTTGCTGAAGCTGGAGGACAGTCCACTGGAGTGTCTCACCTTGCTGATGAGGAGTTGGGATTGGCTGGTACGTGGCAGAGCTAGGACCGAACCCTTTGCATCTTGTTTCCTGGGATGCGTCTTAAGATTCTGTAGTTATGGAGATTCAAAGGATACAGAACTTCATAGTGAACCTCTGCTCTGGGAGCTGAGAAGCCACAAGTCTGAGGTATGTCCTGAGCTCATTTTTAGAAGCCAATTCTGGATTATGAATCTCTAGTTGGTTGACTGTAACAAAAAACCGAGACCTGGATTGAATCCATGATAGTCCCAGAGATCTTGCCTTGATGCTCCCAGCTTTTTCAGACAGAGTTGTTGGCTGCTCTATGTCCCTGATCTCATTAGATTTATGACTGGAGCAGAGGAGAGCTGCCTTGCACCCTGAAGAACCTCTGGGCTGGGCACATTAATCACGAACTCCCTCCCGAGTGAAACCTGGCATGAGAGAACAGGACAGCCAGGAAGCTTAGCACAGGTCTGTCCGTGCCTTGGGACTCTGGCTCCCTCTGGTGCCAGTGGCTTTACATTCTGCATTTACAAGATAATAGGGATTAAGGAAAGCAGGATGAGTTAAGGTGGAGGGTTGTTCACTGTCGCTGTTTTAGAAAGGAAGAAAAAAAAAGAATAAATAAGAAGTCTAAGTGTGATATTTATATATTGGAAAAAACTGTTCGAGACTTACAGAATGTTAGGGATATATGACAGTTACCTAATTAATTTTCCCAGTAAAAACATCTTTCCTTTATTACAATTTATTACATATGTGATGCATGGGAGACCCCAAGCTTGATTCAGCCCCACCTCCCTCAATTTCTTGATATATCAAAGAGCAACTCGCTGAGTGACTTGCTTGAGATCCCACAGCTGGTTTATAGCCAAGACATCATGTTTTTGTTTTTTGTTTTTTTCCTTTTCTCCAGATGTTTCAGATTTTTTGAATTTTAAAGGCTGGCAAAAGTTTTTAACAAGGGGGAGTTGATGAAAAGTGGTAAGGGGAAGAGTAATAGAGCACAGGCCCACCTCCATTGTGTGGTAGTAAGTAAAGATTTTAAGCACCCCTAACCATTGCCTGATGTCAGCACTTCCCATGGGAAAGGATGTTTGTGTCTATTTTAATGTCCTTTGAAAAGTCTAAGTTTAGTTCTGTGTAATTCCTCTATAGTTTCCTACTTTCCTTTATTTTAAAGTGGTGTGGGAAAATGTTACCCTTTAAAGGCTGCACAGTCATCAAGATGATGTTTGGCCTCTGCTGAGCTGTATTTGTGCTCAGGAAGAAAGAGGAGAATAGCTATTAGTCGGCTTTCCAGTACGGTACCAAAATACCCAAGAGAATCAATTTTTAAGAAGGAAAGGTTCATTTTGGCTGACACTTTGGGAGGCTTCCATTATGACAGAATACGTTCAATGGTGACTGGGAAGCACAAATAGGGAGAGCGAGAGATTGGTGTCCCAAAGTTCCCTCCGAATGTGTACCCCAGCGACCCACTCTTCACGCTTGCCTTCACCCACAGCACCATGCTGAACACCAGGTCTTCAACACGGAGGCTTTGGGGCTTTCCAGACCCGCACAGAAGAAGTGAGCCTCCCTTGTCCTCTTGGTAAGACAGCGCTTGAACGGTCCCCCATTGTTCACATGTTGGAAATTCAGTCCCCTCTTCCATCGATGGCATTGGGAAGTGGTTAGAGTTAAATGGAGTCCTCAGGTGAAGCCTCTGTAATAGTGGTGGTGGCCGTGCAAGAAGAGGAGGAGACCTGACTGAGCTGGAATGCTGTCTGTCTTGCTGCAGTGTGCCCTGGCCTGTCAGGAGGCAACAAGAAGGCTCTCACAGGTGCCAGCACCACGCTTTCAGGTCTGTCAGCCTTCACAGACGTGAGCTAAGTAACCTCCAGACTACCCAGCCTCAGGTATTCTGTTTCAGCGATAGAAAGTAGGCTCAGGGAGGTAGCACGAGCCCTGCTTTCTGGTTCTTTGAGTGTCAGGTGACAATTCTAACTCTTATATCTGGACCCCAGTGGACTGCAGCCAGTCAGTCCTCGGAGAATCTCAAGTAGCTCGGTAACAAAATACCCAAGGCAGGACTCAGCCAGCCTGGCTTCCCGACGGTCTTGGCGCCATGAAAGTGGAGATGATGAGGCTGCGGAGAGGGGCTTTCCATTTCGGTTTCCCTGGGATCTCACTCCAGCGCTCTAATGAGGCAGCACACGCTTTATGTGAAGGCAAATGTCTCCCTGATCGTCTAACCTTCCGTGATGACAGATGTGAAAGCAGTCAGTGCTTTTGTTCTCATGTGAGCCGGACTCGGCCGACCAGATGAGATGAAGAGGAAGAGGTGACCCGGAGTGGGCTCCTCCTCGCCTGCACTGCCACGTCGGTCACGATGTAGCAGTACACACACAAAATCAGAGCTGGCTCCTGTGAGGGTGCCACCCGCCTGCTCTCATAGCCCAAGTGCAGGAAAACGCTTCCCCAACAGGCTCACCTAAGTCTCCGCAAGCAGGGAATACTCGAAGTTAAGGTGGTCAGCAGAGTAGGAGGAGGACTGAGAGGTGTGACCATCCCGGGGCACTGGCTGACCCGTGGGCTGCGCAGAATTCTCATTCCCAAGTCCTGGGGTCATTTTAGTAACCCTCGGGCCTCCCAGGGTACTGAATGGGAGTGGCTGTGGGAGCTTCTCAGACCCAGAGAGCACTTGCTCCGCTCCATCAGCTGCGTTGTCATGACCCCGGTGCCGCGGGCAGCTCCAGGGTTAGGGTTAGTCTGGTCTTTTGGTGAGGGTGGAGGTAGAATTAAATTCAGCCAAGTTAGTATTTCCTGAGAACCTACTGCGTGCAGGACCTTTACTCTGTACTCCCAGTCCTTGACTCTTGCCATCTTGTTGCAGGTAATGGCACAGGGAGAAGTGGCAAGAATTGTGGACTTGTCCTCAAACAGGGGCAAACTGTTGGTACGTGTGGTTGCTTTCTTAGCATATGAGTTATTTATCACATTCTACGAGCCCCTAGTGAGCTTCTCAGTCTAATAGACCCAATTGGAAGGCAGCCTTTGAAACACTGACCATTATTGTCTTTAAAAGATAAGGTTTCCTACTTGCCAAGCCTGGATTGTAGAAAATGTCTCAAGTCTTAATAACCCTCTCCACTGTCCATTAAGAAAGCTGATAAACATGAAGTTTGTAAAGTAAGGACCAAAAATAGATCAGGTTTTTGATGCCAAAATTCCATTAGGCCTTCAATAAATGATGCAGTCAAATCTATTTAACAGGTATATATTTTGAGGCAGTGAAACCTTATTATTTAATAAGGCCTTTCAAGTTTAATGTTTATCCCAGGGATGGGTTATTCAAAAGACAAATTATCAGCAGAACTGAGTAATGCCTTTTTCTGATCCATTTTTCTTCAGAGGCTTAGTAACTTTTCTCTTTTCCCTGGAGCATTAGTGTATCTTTTGGGGGGAAGGCTGTAATTGCATACTAGCTCACAGGGGAATAGATATGGGACCCTTGATTTTTTTTTTCCTACACTGGCTTCTCTTTGATTCTGTTACCACAGGGGCCTCAGACAGATGAAGCCAATCCCTCACCAGCTCCTCTTATCTGGTTCAGCCCTGCCCATTTAATGCTGGCAAAGGCCTCTTTCCCCCAAATAAAACAGCATTTGGTTGGTTCTGAGTACATATGGTCCAGGTGGTAAGAATGATGAGCTCTGGAGTCTCCTTTGAAAAGGGGAGAGGCCAAGCAGGGTGAGGCCAGTGGTCTGGAGGTCCTTTGGGATGAGAAGCTTCTGAGGGTCAGACCTGTGGAGGAGGTGGTCAGAGACCAAGAGGGTGATGTTGATGGTAGCTACAGGTGCCGATGAGGTCCCAGATGTGACCAGGGCGGTGCTGTTATAAGTGGAAGAAGTTGTCATTGTTAAATTGAAGGACCTGGAAACTTGGCTCTTGAAAGAAAACAAAAGCCTCCAAAGCACAAAAACCCATTACCTCCACCACTGAAATTCACCTATATATTTTTCACAGGCGTGTACTGTACCTAAAACAGAGCAACCCAAGAACATTACCAAGAAAAAAACAGGCAAATTTTAGCCAAAAGAAAACCAGCACAACAATATTGATAGCAGATAAAAATAATGTCTGAGGGAAAAGTATTAGATAAGAAAAAGCTATTTCTATTTGGAGAGATTAACAGTCCACAGAGAGGATGTTATTACAGTGAATCTCTGTGTTCCTAACAATGTGATGTAAAACATACAGAAAGTCAAAATATTAAGGAAACATAAATTTACACTCATGGTGGTGAATGCCAGTAAGTCAGCTACCAGAATGGGTACGATTCATAAGCAGTGATAAGTGTGTTTATTTTATTTATTATTTGTGTGCATATTTAATTTGCTCTCATTTTAGAATCTATGGATATTTTTAAAAAGTAGTGCCTGAGCATGTGTATTATGAGAATGGGCTAAAGTTCCATCTCCTACTAGAAAAAAAAATTCAAAGTTTATTAACAGGTTGCTGATTGTTTCAGTCACACCAAAGCCTAATCCATAAAATCTAAAAGTGAAGGAATAAAATCTGCTCCAGTAATTAAATGGGATTCTGTACCCAGCTTTGGTTAGGTTTCTGTTTATGTATGAGACAGAAGCCTTGAGAGTCGTAAATCCCCATTTTAAACGGTTGCCAGCTATAGGTTAACACTCAGACTCCCTTGGCTTTTCCCCATTGGTTCTGGCTCATGGTGTTTTGGATGTTCTGTTTTCCTTGCCCTCTCTGCCATTCCATTCCTGGGCTCTCATTTCCTCTGCTCCTGGGTTTTGGTTGGCCTCGTTTTAGAACTTAAAAAAAAACAACGCATCTGCTGTCTCTTCCTAGTCGCCTTCATTTACATTTTAGTCTATTTTTTTTCTGAGATGAGTTCAACCCGCTTTACTTCCTGTTTTCATAAGCTTTATGCAACTGGAGAAAAATGTGATCATGCATGTTGAAGTCAGAGTTGTATGATTAACTTTGTGTTTTTACTGTTATAGGGACTATGCTGACTGATTGGGTGGATGCTGGGCGTGGAAATTTGCAGAGCTGTCTTGGAGGGTCCTGTATTCTGCTGACTTGAAGATGGGTGGTGGATGCAGCTGCAAGTAATTAGCATATATGCCCCCATTTCCAAGGCAAAAAGGAATAGTTTTGGCTCCTTCCACTAGCTACATTTTCATGCTAAATGCACTTGAATATATTCAATAAAACACATTAATCTTTCATGTTTGGTGAATGAATTTTGACAAATACACACCCCAATTAAAATATAAGACACTCTGTTGTCCTTGAAAGTTAGCTTATGCTTGTTTCATGGAGTTATGATCTCAGCCCTCCTCCCTAGGTCCAGGCAACCCCCGATCTGCTCAATGTAGTCATACATATGTGTTTTAGTTCCTACAGCATTTTTTTCTGAGATTTTGTTATGTGTGGGTTTTTTAATTGGTACTATTTCATTTCATGTGGAAATATCAGAATTTTTGTTTATTCATTTTCCCACAGATGAATACTTGGGCTGTTTCTACTTTTTGCTTATTATGAATAAAGCCTTTTTTAATGCACAGACATTTTTGTGAACATGCATGTTCATTACTCATGGGATAAGTCTAGGAGTGCTGGTGCTAGGTTGAACAATTCAAATTTATTAGTATTCTAAATTACTTTCAACATGATTGTAGGATTTTAAACACCCACCAGAAATGTAGGATTGCGTTCCACGGTCTTGCTAACACTTAGTAGAACCAAGTTTAATTTTTCACCCTTGTAATGAGTGTGTAGAAGTTCCTCATTATGGTTTTCCTTTCTATTCTCTAGTGACTAATGATGTTGAACATGTTTTCATGTGCTGATTGACCATTTGAATATTTTCTTTTGTGAAATGCTGATTCAAGTCCTTAACCAATTTTAAGTCATTTATATCTTTATTATTTCCTTTCCCTTTGAAGAGTTTGAGCAGTCAACATACTTTAACAAAGAGCCAATTAGACGCCTAAGTTACTATAGTCTTTCAGCTTTCATGTCTTACTTAAGTAATACACCATCAGAGTTGGTGTATTACTTCTATTTTACAGAATAAGTAGACAAGATTCAGAGGCACCGAGAACTTCTGTAAAATTTGAATTTCTCATCTTGAAACATAAGGAATCTGAATTAATTTTCACTTGAGAAAACGTTGGAGGGAAAACACTGTGAGAGAAAGTTTCGTGCCCTTGAAATTGGTCTTGGCTTTTATTTTCCAGTGTCTTTTTTGGTGCAAGAACTGGTATGCATCTGTAATCCCGGCTCTTGGGAAGCTGAAGGAAGCAACTTGAGGCCATGAGTTTGAGAGCAGCTTGGGCAACAGAGTGAGACCATGTCTCAAGTAACTGAAATAAAATTTAAAAATAAATTTCTTATTTTATAATAGCTATAAACTTACATAGAATTTCTAAAGACATACAGGGTTTTCATATACCCACTGATCCTGTTTTCTTTATTTAAAAAGCTTTGCAGAGAAATATTTCGAATGCATACAGTACACTCTTTTACTTGCACAATTCAATGGAGTTTGCTATATCCACAAAAATGTGACATGCAACCATCACCACAAAAAGAAACCTTGGACAGTTTAGTTATCAACTCCTTCCATGCATGTGACTCCTTCCAGCCCTGAGCAACCACTAATCTACTGAGGTCTGTGTGGATTAATTGTCCTGGATTTTTCATATGAACTGAATTGTACCAAATGTGGTCTTTGGTGACTGGCTTCTTTTCATCCTAGTTGTTTTAACACTTGTGGCAAAAGACTACTGGCCATCGCCAAGAGACCCGGGTACTGCCCTCTGCACTCTAGGCCGCCTTGCATGTAACTGTGATCTTTGACTGAACTCTGACCAAAGGAGTCAGAGCAGAAATGTGGTATGTACCATTTCTAGGCTTGCCTTTTTTTGTTTGTATTTCTTATAATCTTTCTCTCCTTCCCATTTTTTGTACATTTAAAATAAACATAATAGCTGTGAGCTCCATGTCATATATTAATGCATATATACAACATGTAATGGTCAAAGCAGGATGATTCACTTATCCATCAGCTCAAACATTTATTTCTTCAAGGCCTGATCTTTGAAAACCAAACCAAATGGAACATCCCACCACCCCATTCTTATTCTTTTCTCACACTAAGGCAAACTGAGGAGAATTCAAAGGATCCGGATGGTGAAAGCGCAAGATCAGAGCCGAGCCTGAGCAAAGCCCTGTCCTGACCCCTCCTGGACTATGCCTGGGGCTGTACAGAGATATTTATTATATTAAATTAACTGCTGAAATGTAGGCATTGTCTACTCCAGCAACTAATCTTATTTACCTTTTCTACTAAAAACACTCTTTGAAAGTCCATAATTGTGAGTGTCTCTAATGCATCAAAAACTCCAGTCATGCATTGTCTTTTTATAACACTCACTGGCCACTTACCCAAGACAAAGACTGAGGAAGCCTAGTTCCTGTAAGCCAGGGCTCCTGCATGTGGTACCAGCACATATCTTGGTACTTTCAAGTTGTCTTAAAAACAGATATTTCCTGAACTTTTATATGGTATTTAGTTGAAAAGAATCAGAGAGGATATTTTAGTGAAATAAATCACATATATCCACAAACATTTATTAACATCCTTAGAACAAATTCTCTAAGCTTAGTATTTATTTCTCTCTCTTTGCTCTGTAATCTCCGAGACATAAGAGGCTCTGTAGGAAACAGGAAGAACAGCACTGTGTACACTGCAGGGCATTTTGTGAAGTATAAAATTCTGCTCAGTTCCAAAGATCAAAAGGTCTACCCAGCTGGGACATATAAATCCTAGTGTTAGAATTTATGAGGGAGTTATCTTGAATTATGTGTTGGGCGTTGGGCTTGGCACATAATAAATAGAAATGATCCTCCCAGGACAGTAGATTAACATCCAGGGGAAAAATCAGCCGTCTGTGGAATTTAAATGGGAAGATGCCCCATACTTTCCACAGAAGGAAAAGGCTCCTTGTCCCAGAGATGGACCTGGGATCCTTTGCTTAAAGCCTCCATTAACTCATTCCTGAGGGAGAAGATGATTTATCTACACAGGTTCTGAAAAGGAGCCTGCACCCCTGGACTGCTCCCCTAGGCCTGTGCTTTTTCAGATCTGAGGGTGCCTATGTAGCGGGTCCGGCGCCAGCTTCACACGTGACCATAGGGTTGTTGTGCAACTACGAAGGAGGCATTGTGACGCCAGGTGAAGATTGGCCATAATAGCCACAGCCTCCAACACCTCTGACTAGCGATGAAGGTCACAGTTCATCTTCATCAGTGTGACCTTTCATTCCTCAATTGGTTCTGAACTTGGAGGGTGTGTGTGCAGAGCAGGTGGATGGTGCAAATATTTACTGGCTCCTTGATTTTTACAGCTGCAGAGCTACAATGTTGCATGTGATATACAAATCAATGAAACCCGTAGCAACTTCTATGAGCAAAATGGCACCGCAGGTTGTGTGTTATTTCAAAAAAATAAAAGCATTTTTGTGTCTTTTCAGGTAGATTGAAATTCCTCTAAGCAAGGGACAAATTCGCATAAAAATTAAAATCAGCAGAAGATGGGATGTAACTAGGGCTTATATGATGTAGAAAAGTCTACAATTATATCATGATACCAGAGAGAGGTGATATTGCTGCAGACTGGTGCATTTCTGGAGATCAAGCACAGCCTTGGAGATGCCTGTAACGTGTGGCTGTATATAAGTTTAACATGTGTGGACAAATAAAACAAAATAAAACAAATCAATTTACCTCAGTCTATGTGGTTCCAGTTTTCGAGTTTTTTCTCCCTGTTCTTTTTTCCCCTTTATTGTGATTTTTACAGGCCATTTATGACATAATAGAGACTCCCAAAATAGCAGAGTGAGTGCCAACAACTCAGCCTCCCCCAGACAAGTGTCTAGCCTGGAAAACAGCAGCTTGGAGAGGAATTGAAGTGAGTGGAGGATATCTGGGAACCATGAGGGAACTGACAGAGGGGAAGAAACTAGGGTTAAGTGATGCAGAAGAAATAGATCACCTCACCCTAACTGAAGAGGAGAGAGGGTCAGAACCGCAACAGTGGAGCCAAGAGAAACTAGCAACTTTCTGCTCACAGAGAACCAGAGAACAACATCAGGACCAAAAGAATCACCTGCAGCTGGAGCCAGCAAGGAAAACAAGGGACACTGCTTCCAGAGCAGGCTCCCTAATCAACATTTGGTGAGCGACCCTGGGACAAGAGCACACAGCGACAACCGTGGAGCAGGAGCAGAAGCTGGAGCAGGAGCTGAGGGGAAACCATTGTAGGGAAGGCTGAGAGTTCGAACATGGGTCCCAGAGCGGATGAAGGAAAAGCAGTCATGGGAGACCAGGCAGCTGGAGGCCAGATGGGGAGTCCCCCTGAGAGAGAGAGGCTGGCGTACACAAGCCAGGTTCAGCCTGAAGCTCACATTGGTGCCCTGTTCTCCCTGTAAGCAGTGACCTGCCACCTTAGACTTCCAGTGTGAATACGTCCTAGCTTGAGTAGGAGAAGACTCACACACTCAACGCAATAGAAAACTTTCTTCTATTACTCTTTATTTGATTGTACCATTTTAAAAGTTTTATTTTACTTTTTAAAAATTCTTTGCTGCTTTCCTCCTTCTGTACATTTTCATCGCACTTTTATTGCATTATTTTACCCTTTTTCCTATCAGGTGCGAGTCTGTGTGTGTGCGCTCCTCCTCGTGCCCTCTCCCTCCCAACATAGTTTACAGAGGATAAGGGCTTCTCCTCGTCCTTCTGTCTCTCTCCGAGTTGGATCCATTTCTCTTCACCTGACTCCTTTCTCCTGTGTCGTGTTCATTCCCAAATTTAATTTCTTTCCTTTCCCCTCTTCATTTGTCTCCTTTAACTTTTTCCTCTAGGATTTAAATGCCGTAGAACCTTTTCCCACCCCCATTTCTCATTACCGATTTTGTACCCAGTTTTCCTGTTATCCCCTTCTAAATCTGCAGCACACCCTTACTATCATTAGGACCTTTCACCGCTTTCTATTTTCTCCTCCCCATACCACAGAGCGGAGGAGTTTTGAAAAAACACTTCTTTTGCTTTTGTTTTTGTCTTCTCTTCCCTCCCCTGGCATCACCTGGTCCTCAACCTCCAGGCTTTCGATCACTGTTCTTTAACATTGATGCTAAATGCTAGTATCACCATGAGAGGAGGCACAGCCGTTGAAGTTAGCGCACATTAACTGTGGGTGAAGACTTGAGTTCTTAAAATATTTACATTATTACCATGGATTTCTTCTCTAGACTAAAAGGGGACCCAAAACAGGGTGTCATGGTTTGTTA